CCTTACGACAATTTTCGGTTATCCATTGCATAAAATGTAACGCCAATGGCATGCAAATATTAAAATAGTGCATTCTGTAAACGAAAAGGGCAAGTACTTTTCGAGAGTAAATACATTATTTTAACATGTGCATGTCATTGGCGGTAACCGAATAAATGTAAAAGTTTCTTGCTGGGAAGGTTAGATGCGCGGCTACATACATACATACATATGTATGTAACTACATATATATGTAAGTGTGTGTGGTATGGCAGCCTACAACTCGGCTCGAGTGTGTGACACTGGAATAAATGAAAGGCAGCCAACTTCATTACATGCTTGGTTTATTCAAAACAGTCAGCGTAAATTACTTTACAACAACAATGCACACAGCCAGACGCACACATGAGTATACCGCGAGCGATGCGATGCGATGCGATGCGATGCCCTGACTCATGTCAAATATGTACATTAGCAACTACATATCAAAACAACAAGAGCAACAACAATGCGCACAACAGCAATCAAGGTGTCGAGTGCAGCGTTGCCGAATTGACGATTTCGTCGTCATTTTGACGTTTTTTTAGCTCAATGACGTTTTGACAATTTTTCCCCCATAATGACGATTTCTTATTTTAGTTTTTCCACTAAATTACTTATAATACTAATAATAATTACTTATGTGTGTATGTAAAAAATTAGTTACAGGAAAACGTAATCCAAAATGCAACCATGCATTTATCCAGTTTTATTTTACAACCGTGCTTTCACTTATATTAAATTTTTTTTAGAATTGTAACCAAATATTTAATTTGCTCTACTGACACTGATTTGAAAGAGACAGAAAAGTAGGGGAGGGAATTTGTTCAGTCAAAATTATCAATCAGTTAATAAATGCTAAGCGTCTTCACATCCACTTTGGTAGTTTTGGTAAATTGCTAGTTAACACTCGGTAATTTTATTAACTGTGAACGTCCGTTTCAGTTTTCTTTTATCAGTCTGGTAAACTATGTTTATCAACAGCGGATTCGTAGCTTCTTTCCTAAAAAAAATGTGTAACAGAAAATTTAAGGAATTTTACTTTCTCATATGCGTTATGCCTTTCGGCAGCGAGCGGATTTAAAATTGAATAAATATCGAACAGCTGATTGCAGTTTACCAACTACCAGAAAAATGATCCAGCTTCCTTCACGATAATTCCGTAACCGGTACACCGATAATAAAATATTTTGACACAAACAAAATACATTGGAAAAAATTATCGAACACCGGGTACTGGATCAAAAACTTCAAACCAGTCGAGTTCAACTATTTAAAAGCAATTGTCCTTTAAATTGTAGTTTTAATTTGTCGTTAACAATTGCAAATCCACTTTTAATAACCCATATGCAATGTGGGTTCCATTTGGTTTTGTAATATGTGGTCTTATTTATTGGGCCGTATGTATAAAACCTAAGGAAATTTTTTTTCAGACCTTTTGCTCAATTTGTTCAAATAAATTTTAGTTAAAGTATGCAATTTTAAGAAAATGCAATTGCTTAGTTTTTATGCATACGACTTATAATATGTAATTTCGTTTGTATTTTTTATTTTGTTAAAAAAAATACAATAAACAAAAATTTTACATATTTTTGGCCGAAATGACAATTTTTTAGGGTAAAGTGACGATTTTCCAGCGAAAGCTTTCGGCAACGCTGGTTGGGTGAACAAAAACGCAGTATTACAACAACAACATTTAGCAGCGACAGCAGCCGGAATTACAAAGGACTACAAGACTGCAATGGAGAATCGCTGTTAGTTGTTAGCTGTGCACCGAGCAAAGCATGAAATAAGCATAAAATAAGTACAAGAATGGGACATGTTGAGCAGAAGCAGAAACAAGCACCCTTTTCATTCATTCACTCATTCATTCATTCATTACTAGCAAGCAAGCTTTTGCGTGGGCAGTAAAATCCCACGCAGGCTAGTAACTACATATATATGCAGCGCATGTATTTCACTTCTAAATATATGTATATACATAGATTCATATACATATTCTTGTAATAAATTTTATGTGCCACATCCTTTAAATGAATGGACTATTCACATATCTACATAGATGTTAAAATTCCTTGACAAATGACTGGAGTACATACAAGTAAGCATACTCACACACACACACAAGCACATGCACATATGGCTGTTGCCATGACATATGACTATAGTCATTACGGAGGGATTAGCCCCAAGTACATGGCATGAAAAAATTTAGCCGCCGATGAAATTCGCACTCACACACTTACTTTTATTATTATTCCATCAACTTCAAAGCACTCTAAAGACAAACTAAATATTTTTTCAGTATGCTAGGTATTTTCTCACTGTGTAACATCCAACAACACATCTATGTTAGTGTGTATGTATTGCAGCTGCTTTTTGTTGTTCTGTGTCGTGTTATTTTTTGGCATTCAAATAAGTATGTCAGAGTCTTCGTTATTATGCCGCCTTCAAGTGACCCTTTTCTTATGCTTGAAAACATAACATTTCAACAACAACAATTAGAAGTATGTGGAGAAAATCAACGTGTAGAAAAACAAGGACATTAGTAAAATGATGACAACGTCGTAAGCCGATAGCAAATCACAAAAAAAGGGAAATAAACAACACCAAATTAATGGACGTGCATCGAGCATACAGATAAGAGTGCCTGTGTAGTGGTAAGATAGAACCCACGTATGTAAATTACACAATCATGCATGGCTTGGAGGGGTAGGTTTTGTAACGCTGTATAGCCCACCAAGCAAAAAAGCACAGAAACCTAAAAGTAACAAGTAATTTAAAAATAAATTTTTAAAGACAAGCTTTTATTAGTGGCTAATAAAAAAAATCGACCCCACCACCTCCTAACGACTGAATGTTTTGTGGAGTTATTTCTTTCTATTTAAGTAATAGTACCAGGTTGACAGAACTTTGCTCGGAGTGCATATCTTTTTAAAGTTGTCAAGGTTTGGGTATCAAATACTGGTATTTGCATAGTTTAAAAAAAAATAATAATTGGATTTTGATATGTAAATTTTTTACTTTAAGGTTTAGGTGGCAACTCTATTTAGACATACGCTGCGATGAATAGTACACATGTTGAGCGTATATGCACTTTGTATACATACATACAAAAATATGCCAAATACATTTTGCACCGTGCAAGGGCAACATTTTTTGGTAGAAACGAAATCACCATTAATAACCAAAGGCTCTTAATAAAAGTGAAAATAATCCTAACAATATTTGAGCTTAAAATATGTAACTAGCAATTTTTGTCTCTTTGTTTTTAGATATATATTTATAAAAACCAATGTTAAGATTTAAATTATAAAATCAAATGTTAACATTTAAATTATATTCTTTAAAAAGTCTGCATGAGTCCCCAACGCAAAAAGGAAGACCCAATGACCAAAAAAAAAAATCTCACAAAGTTCCATAAAGGTTCATAAAATTTCGAAGTTCAATAAGAAAGTCGTATAATACCGAAAAGTTCCTATAGAATATTATGAAATCTTGGAAGGTCTTAAAAACCTTCAATTTTAACCCAAAAAAAACCTAGGAAAATTTTCGAAAAAATTACAAAGCTTTTAAAATTTGATTAGCTCTGAATAAAGAAGCTCCGGTAAAGTAAATCTAAAAATTAAACTATAAAAGAAAAATAATAATAAAAAAATAAAATAAAACAAATATATTTCCTTTTAAAACCATAAAATACAAAAATTATAAGACAATGACTTTAACAAAACAAATTACATTGAAAAAGAAGAAAGAAATAAAATAAAATTCTAAAAATTTAATTACATTAAAAAAAATATATATTTTTTCTTTTTTAATCAATAAAATTAAAAAATGAGCAGAAAACTGAAAACAAATATAATTGAAAGAAGAAAAAAGTAAGCTCCTAGAAGTTAAATGAAATAAATGAAATATATTAAATAAAAATAAATAAAAGGAACGCTTGTGTTTTGCCCACTCGGCCATTGCGACTAGCATTTCAACATGAGTGGTTAATGAAAGAGCTTCTTTTCTAAGACTTTTATGCTAGAATAACAAAAATCCTTGGAACTATCTTGCCATCTCTCTTTTTTATCGTCTTGCGAAAGACTTTTTAATATCTTAGCCCGAATTGCCCTAATAATCCTTTTGCAGGTTTAAATAAAAGGTGGTCAATAAGCAGTTAAGTTCGACCTCCAAACCAAACTTGTCATGCGTTCAGCGATTTTTGGGGTTCAGTAGACACATTTTTGATGATTTTCAAAAAATAAAAGTTTTCATTTCCTAAAAAAATACTTTTGCCTTGATGAGTTCAGCACCGCAGCCACTGCGTCCCTGATCGTGTAAATGCCGGCGGCTTTGTTTTATAAATATTTTATTTTAAATTTTTTTATCGAAGTTCAATAATTTTTCGTTTTTTTCGCTTTTTTTTTGGTAAAATCTTGGTCGACTATGAGTATTTTGTACATATTTATTTATGCCTGCACTGTAATTCTAGAAGGTGAGTAGTTAGTTGAGCTGAATTAGGTATGTAATTAATTATGCTCGCTCCTACTGATGATTATTCGCTAATGCGATAACTATCCCCCAAGCATACAAAATACATGCATTGCATTATCACAGCGCAATAATAAGAAGAATAAAGCAAAAAAAAAAAATCGGCAAGCAAAGCAGCGAGCAGCCGAAGGGAAAATATATGTATGCTTGTCCAACAACCCAGCGCCTGTGTGTGAACAATAACATTATGAGTGTGGGGACAGCATACATAATTAATTTGGGCATACATACGTCACGTAAATAACATTAAGCGCAGCCAGCGTCGAAAGCGCAAATAAAAAAAAAATAAATAAAAGATTACATTCATATGCCAAAAATAATGTTTTCGGCATGAAACGCGTAATCAAGAGCCCAAAGGCAGCACGCGGTTAAATTATAGTTAATATATAGTAAGATATGATAATTTAAGCCGCGCTAGCCGTATTACGAGAATATAGAACCAATATACCTGTGCGCTAAAATACAAGTATTTAGTATAAAAGCTAAAACCAAATCAATTCGCAGCGACAGACACAGCAGCAACGTCGCGGCTGAAACTTGGAACTTCACCGCAGGCAGCCAAGTTCGGTGCACAAACAAAAAACGAAACCACTTCACAATGTTCAAACCACTCATCGCTCTTCTATTGCTGGCCACGCTCTGCGCCGCCGAAGCGCCGACGCGTTTCCGCATAGCTGCGCGCCGTCCTAGTGTCGCTCGTGGCCGTTTCCTTGCGCGCCAACAGGCAGTGCCTGCTCCTGCGCCACCCGCACCTACTGGCTATCCAGCCGCCGGTGTGACACCTGAAATTCCCTTCGACTTGCCGCCATCATCAACAAACAAGCCAGATGTGACCTACTTGCCCCCGGATAGCACCTATGGCCCGCCAACACAGCCGGAAGCTACTTACGGTCCGCCAGCACCGCACAGCACCTACGGACCGCCAACAGCAGCCGCTGTGACACCAGATGCTGTTTACGGTCCGCCTGAGAACACCTACTTACCACCAGAGCAAAGTGTCACTGCACGCGATGTGGATTTAGAAGTTGACGAAGAGGAGGCCACAGTGGATGAGCAGCAGCCAAGTGAACCGCAACCGGAAGTAAGAGATCAACACAAGGAGGAGGAGCCCGCTGAGGAAGAGGGCGAGGAGATTTTCGTCGCCGTCGCCGATGATGGTAGCGTCATTGCGGTCAGCAACTCATTCGACGCACAGGGCACTAACGATGAAGCCGACAACAAGGCAGCACAACAGCCAGCGCGTTTAGTTTTCCAACGTTTCCCACAAGGTAGACGCCGTGCGCCAGCTGACTTGCCTGTACCAGCGCATTTAATTAAGCAGCGTCGTGTAAGGCCAGCAAAATTTCAATTACTACAGCGTGCGCAACAGCAGGCACAGCCACAAGGGTTCCCGTTCGCCGCGCGCTACACCGGCTGGTAAATTCTGTAAGTGCTGAATGGTGACATTACAAACATATGTAAGAGTGCACGCGTTTGGATAAATGGGAATTCGGTTGCAATGTTAGTTAAATTTTGTTTAAATTTTGGTAGACAATATTTTTTTAGAAAATAAATTTCAATAATTTTTAAAATTAAATCTTTTGTTTTCTTTGCATTTGCAGAGTTGGCTATTGAACTGCCTAAGAGTATGCAACTTAAGACGCTTAGCATCTATTTTCTTCTTTTTTTTTGGTATGCACTGCTCAAACGGCAATATTTGATATGTAGTTTGTTTAAGAAGTTGCAAATCGTAAAATGGTTCAAGAATATTGTAAAAAAATATGCTTTCCTAGAATATAAGCCTATTTCGTTTTAATAGCCTATTAGAAAGGAAAGGAAAAAGAAGCTCGAAGATATCTGTATGCAGCTAATCAGTACCCTTACACTACCCCTACAAACACCAGTTTTAGCAAAATCTCGTATCTTTGCGAAAAACCTCAAAGAGTACTGGAGATAAAGAACTCCGCAACAAAAAGGTTAATATTAGCCTGGTTTCTGTCAGAACGAAGCAGCCATAATCCAATTGCGAACTCGTAATGCAGACAGATTCAGATTTGATCCTGAATCCCGAAGTATTGTGGTGATAAATACTTATTTTTACTTATTTTCCGGCCATCAGAGGTAGCCTTGTGGTATATACTTTCCTCAATTTTAGTCATTGCTTACTAAAATGATGTGCTTACCTCCTTTGCATAAGAGGGCAATAATGTCTAATGGTTATGAATGACTCGCAGAAGGCATCCTGCCTAAGCTTGCATATAGACTAGCGAGCATTCCTTGGGCACAAGAACATTACAATAACATTTTATTGGAAAAATAACGAAAGTACTGCGAATGCTAGTACAAGTCGGCTCCGCCTTTTGTTGTAGCGAAGAACGCAAGATTACGTCGCAGAAATCTATGTTCGTATGCTTCACACACAATCTGTGCGGCATTTGAACAAATGCGTTTTTAAAACCTTTATGCATAAAAAACATCCCCGAGTACTGCAAGGAAAATTTGCATGTGAATGAAGAAGATTGTGGCGGCCACCATTTGCTCGATTTGCTTTTACTACAGCTTTACTGCCGTTCATACTAGCAGTTCTTTAAGGCGCTGCAACAGCAACAACAACAAAAGCGCACCTATGACAAAACGTCGGAATAAATCGCATTAGCAAAAGTAGCTGCTGAATTAATTTGCATGAGGAGAATTTAAAACGAACCAAACAAATGTAAAACAGCTAAAATCGGATTTTTTTTTTTTTTTTTTTTTAAAATCACAAAGTGTATGTAAATCTAGTGTACATAGGTGTGTTTGCGCGCACTGGTCACAATGGTCTTTTAATGTCCAACGCATATTTAGCAGAACAATTTGCAACATCTGTGGCAGCTTTTATTTGACCCTTAATTAGACTTTTGCAACCTTCGCTCACGCATTGCTACTTACTGCCAGTGTTGCCAGAGACGGCCCCCTAAATATCTTAATGTTTTTTCTCGAAAAAATCTTCAAAATGAGATTTTAAAGCTATAAAAAAATCTTTTCGATCCCAAAAAATCTTCATTCAAAAATACCTTTAAAGAAATTCGATATTGGCTTTACGGCTGTAAATAGCCCTTATTATGTTGGTTGAAAAAATTGCCAATTTCAAATTATAAAGTCCTCTTTATAACAACTTAAACTTAAAATGAATATTGCCTCATGTCATCACAAAATTTGTAGCACAGTTTACATATGTAAATATGCACTGGCGAAAATATAAATAGGGACGCGACAATTGACGAACAATTTTTATATGAGAATTGAAGTCGCTTGTGTTTTTTGTTTATAAATTACTTGTTCTTTTTTATGAAAAAATAGCTCGTCATCTATCAAAAACCATATACGTCCAGACTTCAATCTTTGTACAAAAATTAAGAAAATTCGACAAAGTTCCATATAATTTTGAGTTTTTTAATTCGATTTTTTATTGATAATTTTACACGGATATTATTTTATAAAGCTTACCGCTCCTTTTTTCTCGTTATACATTTATCTACGTAAACTCATCAGCTTACATGGCAGTTTACTTGTAAATTTCCATTGTTGTCATTTAAACTAGAGGGTAAACAAAAGACCGTTTGTTCTATTCCTCCACTCACTAACTCTGCACTAGAGTATATGTTTTACTGTGCGAGAGAAGAAGGCAGATAATATTGTAGGGGATCTCATATTTTATTTTTCTTCTTCCTTCATTTGCTGCTTACAATGATGTAACTAGGATAATATAAATAATTTAACAATTTTAACTTAAACTTTAAAAATTTTACATCATACACAAAATTCTTCATTTTGAAGATATTTTCAGTGTAAAATTTTGCTTTTTAAAAAATATTTTTTTGAAGAAAAATCTTCATTTTCAAGATAAATCTTGACGTATGGCAACACTGCTTACTGGCCGTCCTCTATGGAGGTATACATACATCTAAGCCCTATGCCTAGGGCGTGTGGGCCAAAGAACGTACAGCAACCGCCTTCGTTTCACAATTCCGCAGGCACTCACCCCAAGCAGCCTTCCCCAATCAATTCCACCTTACATACTCACTCCCATACACCGTTCAAATTCTGAATGCTCTGTTGGTCATTTTCGGCCAAGATGAAAGGCATAAAAGTCGCACGTGTTGAAGTGTGTGAAACCGACATTAAATACGTGACCAACTTAGCAAAGATTTTGCCAATTCACTTACGGTGTGCAACATAAACACACCAGAAATGGCAAGCGTTAACGGAATGAATGACCGAAATAACAAATATAATATATTGTATATATTCAGCGGCAAGCGAATATCCTTCCCTACTCTGAATAGCATAAACGGTCAAATGATCAAGGTTGTATTCAATTAGCGGTAAAATTGCTGAAGGCATGTGAAATGGCGCAAATGATGAAAGTTTCGGACTAAGCAGAAATAAAGGCAAGGCAAAGTTCTTTAATGTAGATATTGCGTCGATGAGAATGTGGTTTCGATTTATTTTTGTTTCTTCTTTCATACGTATTAGTAGGTAACGGCACATCGGTAGTAGGATAAGCGAACATAAGCGCCTTAACATGTATCTCAAAGTCGAGTCACATTATTGTGTGAGAGGAAAATTTCATGAAATTTATTGTTGCATAGTTTTTTGAAAAACTGTAACTAAATAGGGGGTTAAACCCGCAAACCCCATCCCCCCTCCCCTCCCCCCGGCGTTCTACCACTCTCTTCTACTTCTGTTAGATTTCAACTAGTGGATGAATTTAAATGGGAGAGAACTGGCATATTTTTCTAATCAATTACATCTAACTACTAATCAATACATATTTACCCTAATATGGATGGGCATAGGCAGCGGATGAACTAGCAAGGAGCGGCTCCACACTTGGATATGGGCGCCTCGGTCAGGGATATTAAGACAAAAATTACAAAAATTTTTGACTCGAAGACCATGCAGAGGTGGAACTGCACAAGATCTGGCAGGATTACCCGGCAGTTCTGGGTGTCCTACGACCCACTTAAAACCAAAGCTTTCTTAGGAATGAGCGATTCCTACAAATTTTCAGCAGTGTGCAGTCGAACACTTCCTGTTCGAGTGTCCAGCCCTCGCAAGGATTGGGCTAAAGACTCTCAGGTAGAAGCCATTCCTGCAGAATATTTCAGAGTGCGGCTGCCTCTCTGCACGACGAACTGAAATTTATTAAAGCGGCCGAATGGTTGTAGGTTGCACAAGTTGTGGAATCAAAATGGCAAACTTGCTAGTTGCTTGTCACCAGGCAGACAATCCACCCTTATCTTATCACCTCTGCTGTGCATCTTGGTGCTGAATAAACTATTAGAAAGCTTTTACGTCAGGTGAGCAAAGGTAGTTGCCTACGCTAATAACTTGGCTATACTGATGTCTTGCCAACAATTGTTAAGCTGGACAGTGTTTAAACTGGGCGAAACAAAATGGGCTTGGAGTACACCCTTCTAAAATCGAACTTTTCTTGTTCACAAGGAAGCCAAAAATTCCGGAATTCTCCTTACCAAAGCTGGACGAGTCAAGTGTGAACCTTTCCTCCGAGGCGAGGAACGATCAAAGAAGGGTCAAGCGGCGTACTATACCCGTAAAAGGGCTTTCGGGAAAAACTGGGGGCTGTCACCCCATATCATTTACGCTATGTACACTACAGTCATCCGACCGATTTTAACCTATGGAGCGCTGATCTGGTGGAAGGCACTGGATAAAAGCAGCAATCAGAGTATAATTGAAAGAATGCCAAAGGCAAAGCTAAAACGCAGCTAATTTCTTTCCTGGCTGTGGCGTCGCGTAAAGACTACTGCTTCTGGTTCTGAGATCGCAGGTTCAAGTCCGCTTGGAGGTGGTTAAAGTAAGGTAAGTCAATTATTTCAATCTATACATATAAAATAATAGCCGTTTTCGTTGTTCGGACTTAACTCAAAAACTACTGGATCGATTGCAGTCAAATTTTCAAAGATTTAAACTTGCATATATGATCCTATTGTAGGCTACCAGAAAATTCGTGGCCCTGGGGATGAATAATTTATAAAGGTCTTATTTATAAACCGATTTCGTTCATATTCAAAACGTGTGCTACCTCCATGATGGAAAAATTGACCCGCTAGGTGGTGCTGGAGTCGAGTTTGTTAATGCAAATTCGAAAAGTTTATTACTTTCATGATGATTTTTTTTTTTCATTCGAAACATATACATTCGAGTGCCCATCGAAAATGCTTTTTTTGGAAATTTAAAGACTCTATCCCCTAATTTTATTCGTTTTACGAAAAATATTATTGCCTATTTTTATAGATTTTTTAAGGGCCAATTAGAGGTCGCGACCTGTCGATTTAGGTCAGAATATAGGATTTTGTTGATTTACGAGTTTTTGAACCACTATTTTTGACTCCATTTCAAATATCGAATATGGTGTGAGAAGAGAACATATAGGCCTTTAAAATCGTACATAATAATCTATTGTCGGACTAGGCTTGTTGGGATTTTTATATTTCTCTAAATTTTTTAAGCTTTGATCATCGATAATTTCTACAATTTCAGAATTTATTGTACTATCTAAAATTAAATCTATTTTTAAATTAACTGATACCTTATCTATTACCATCGGATAAAAAGTGTCGAATTTAGTCGACTTTTCTTAAATACGGCCTTGAATTTACATTATTTGTGCGCACCGGCTAAGGACTTCATCAATATTTATTTAAAATTGATATAAGCAATTGCTCTTTTACAAAAAAGTGTTTTTCAAGAAATTTTAGGCAAACGGCGCTGCCACGCCCACTTATATGATATATGCGTATCTCAAAAACTACTCGCCCGATCTCAAGGTAACCGATGTTTTCAATAGAAATATATGCCCGTTGCCTTATTTCTTGAGGAAAGAGTGAGGCAACAGGCTGTGACGTATCAGATGCCAAAATTTCCGGGAAACTCACACGAAATAATGGCGATTTTTTTCTTGACCGTTTTCTTGAGAGCTGCATACTGGCCTATAGCCTGTGCCTTCTATTGTGTATTCATATATGTATGTACATACATATGTATGTCGCACGTTTAATAATAGATATAACGAAGTATTTCAAAATTTCAAGTTTTTGCGAAAATGCAATCAAAGTTTTATCAATTCATACAGTTTGTATACAAAAAGACAGATGCAAAGATGCATATCTTCGCCATATTTGGGAAGTTTGGTTATCTGTTAGACTGAACATATTCTACTCATCAAGCTAATGAATTGCCTAATGAAATCTCCAAAAACGTAAATTTTGAGTTACATCTCTTTATTATAAAACGTGCGATGTATTCATTCATTCACTACACTTAAAAAAACTTCTACTAAATCGTTTACATTTGCTTGCACTCGAATTTCAACCAGCCAATCCATCAAATGTGCACAACAATCATAAAAATTCCTTTCAGCTAATACTTTATGTGGCCAAGGATGAGGGCATTAGCGTGATTGTAAGGAAGCTAATGTTGCGTATAAACACATACATACATACATACATAGATGATAAGTCTACTTAAGAATATTAAGTTCGTCATATATGCATACATACATACATACATACATACATGTGTAGTATATCCTTCGAATAAGGTATTTTTACTTAAAATGCAATAAAAATTCTCTTCAGCTGCAGTAAAGAGTGAAAAAAGATTGCATGAAAAGTAGAAAAATATCAACGTTAATATTTCTCAGCACACAATCAGATGAAAGATGAATTTTGCACACAACCGACATGAAGTGTTTTTTAGTTCTTAGTATTTTTCTCTGTAAAATATCCGGTTTTCATACGTTAGCTCTTTCTATAGCCGTTTTATTACAGCAACCCTACAAATTGTTTGTGTCGAAAGCATTGCATTAGCCACAACTCCATTGAGCTTACAACCTAACTCAAGAAATTCAATACAAACAATCAAATAACAGTTTTTCTCCTTTCGCTTCCAGACAATTGCCATTCTTAGCAAAATGCACGATGCAACGTGGCACACATCAACAAAGGCAAAAGGAAGTGCCGTTACTAAAAATCGGTGAATAATGCACTATAAAGCGGCAAATAAATTCAACATTAGCCAACAACATCATCGTCTACTTGGCCGACTAAGCAAAGCTGTCAGAGCTTTGAGAAGCCCCAGAGGTCTGATGTGGGAGGCGTTGGTAGCGGTGTCGGTGTCGGTGTCGGTATCGGTGTCGGTGTCGGTGCTTGTTCACAAACACTTGCGCAGTATGCAGAAGGATATGCGGAAAATATCGCAACAAGCGCCATACAACACGTTACAACAGCGGTAACAACAACAAAAATAACAAGAGGAGCAGCTACAGCCAAACAAGATTGTAGTACAACTTGCACTACAAACTAAACAGACAGCCGACAGACAGAGCGCCAGCCATGGAGTGCAGCAGGATATGGGAGGATACGCCCTTACAAGCCAATTGACGTTGGAAATGATGCCCGCAACGGAGTGGAACTACTTAATACATATTACTACTACGACAAGAAAAGAGTTGTTGGTCATACACATGTCCAGAGTATTTATGAGGTGAGTTGCAAAGGTGTAGTTCACTTTGATGGATTAGTCTGCGTTTCCAATTGCGCGCGTGCGTGCCTGTGTGTGCGTGTGTTTGTTGTCTCATACAGAGGTGCATTGTATGCTTTGAGTAACGCAAAGATTAACGGTAAAAGTGTGTTTACAAAAATATATAACAAAGCGTAAAAGATACGAGTAAATAATTACAACTATAAACAGGAGCTATCGTGTGAAAGAAATTTAAAATGTTAAATCGAGTGAATCAATGGTGCGCAGTAAACGGAAGGAAAAGGCAATCAGAAGTTTTGTCTAAAGTATACTCGAGTTAATTTAGGATATTACTAATTAAGACCTCCAAGCAAGAATCCTAATTATAATTTGCTTTTCATTGAATTAACAAGTTTTATTGGTTTGACAATCTGGACTTCATATTCGTTGGACAAACCTTGTTGTGTATATNAATTGATAATTTGATTTTGATTGAATTAACAAGTTTTATTAGTTTGACAATCTGGACTTCATATTCGTTGGACAAACCTTGTTGTGTATATAATCGATAATTTCACCAAATCAAAAGCCTTTAATAAATTGTTGATAGCATATGTATATGCATGTATATGTACTTGTAATTTTAAAGCATCAACAGCCGAAATTATGTCACAGCAATCACTGTAATAATAATGTCCATTAGTACTTAATAACCATTACGCAATTTTTATAGTTTACAATCACATTCTTAATTTTAGTTGCTAACACGTTCTATTCTTCGACAGCAGCTCACACGAAGCAGAAGCGACCAGCCAAAGCGGACGTGGTCAGCTGTAAAATCAATTTAACACCACAATCACGTCGAGCAGCAACGCCAAATTTGTCATACAGCATGAGTGACCGCTGGCGAGCAGACGCAATGGACTCATTGGAAATTTTGGGTTTTTGCTTTATTTTGTTACATCTACAAGTTTAAATAATGCGTATATAGCTACACACACCACTTAAGGCATAAGCATGTACTTAAAGCCCAAAGAAATGAGTTAATACCAAACATTTAGCCCTAACACTTACACGCACCCAAGCACCGTGCCGGAGGTCAGTAACAAAGCCGTAATGCGTTCATAACAACCGTTTTTCCAACGTCACATCGACTCTAGTCAAGGAAAGCCAGCCGAAAGGCAGTGTTCGTTGGCGCCTATTTAATAGACACGCTGATGCGAACTCAACAGTAGTTCACTTCTAACGGTCTTGGACAGCAGAACAGCGGCAGCAGCATAGTCACTAATTAATCGAAAGGATCCGGTGGTTTGGAAATAATGTCCAAAATATTTTACACTCTCGCCGCAGTTGGCTTCTTGATAGCCGCTTTGTGCCATGCCGAGCCGCCACGTTCACGTTTGCGATTCCCAGGACCGGCCAACAATCGGCCATTGCCATTTTTGGCGCGACAAGAATCAGCACCCTCAGCGCCAGCCGATCCAGCACCTTATCCACCATCAGGTTTCAAACCAGAGCCAGCATTTGAGTTACCAGAGCCAAATTATGGCCCGCCCGAAGGGACTTATGGGCCACCAGACCAGACATACGGTCCACCAGATGAGACTTATGGGCCACCAGACCAGACCTACGGGCCACCAGATCAAACATACGGCCCACCAGACCAAACTTACGGACCACCGGCAGAGGAACCCCTTCCTGAACCAGAACCATCCTACGGACCACCACCAGCTGCTCCTGCATCTACTTATGGCCCACCTGGCACACCGGCTGAGGAATATGGACCACCACCACCACCAGCTGCCGTGGATGTACCACAAACCGCATCGATCATCGATCCACGCGTCATCTTCCCACAAACCGTTTTTACGCTGCCACGTACAGAACGGTTAGTGGCTTTTCGTCCCAGACGGCGTCCAGCACCAGCTAAGCTACGCCGGCCGGGTTCGGGTCCGCTACCGAAGCCAGCTAAACTAACTCGCTCACGACCACAACCTCAATCACAAACACAAATACAACCAGCCAAATTGATTCTACATATTCGTCATTAAGTAAAGCAAAATCCCTGCTCTGATTCACTGGGCAGAGTGGGTGCATTGTTGTTTATATAACATGTACATAGATATGTATGAACATGTGTTAGTTTTACATAGCTTTCGTTGTATTCCTTATGGTTTGTTAATTTGTTGTAGCCACTGCTAAAAATAACCTGTATAAATACTATTAAGAAGTTAAAAATTTAATAACGAAAACTATTTCTATTTTTTACTCGTGAACAACTAAAATCGCTCAAGATATTAGCAGCCTATAGCCTGGGCATCGAATTGCTACTTTTGGCTAAGCATTCGGATTTATGTGCATACGGTGACTCAAACAAGTGACCACGAGTTGGTTTTTCGAGCTTTTTTTTTTGTTATTTTTCTTTAACCAAAACCATATAAATCACAGTTTCAAACGGCTAAAAATTCCCGTTGATTTTTTTTTTTTTATTTTTTTGTGACTGATTTTTGCACTTCTTTCCATAAAAGTATGAACTTCTTATAAAATAAAATTTCAACAAGTCAATAATCACAGCTGGGCGGTATTTTTATAGAAAAATAACAAAAAAAATAGCTTGAAACACATTGTGAATACTTATTTTTAAAAAATCAACACCTGGTCATTTGCTGGAATCACTGTATGAACCTCGATGAAACTCTGAATTTGTACCTCTCGCTAGACATACAAAAAACTGCTGGGGTAAGTTTCGATGCAATGTTCACGAGCATGTTGAAAGGAGTTGCATGGACTCAAGCAAGAGTCAAAACGGTTAGATGCAGAACTGGATAAAATACGAAAAGTGGTCGCCGTAACCCTATGGTTAGAGGTGGGGTTGGCATTCCTACATGGCCGCTGTTATTTCGTTTATTCTTTGTTGTTGTTGTAGCGGCTACAGCAACCCCGCTCAGTTCGGTTAGTCCCTCAATCGTTGTCATCAAGCTCTACTAACGGTAGCCTCAGGAAGCGTGCAACCTCGACAGGGTCTGTCCATAGACACAGGGGCGTTAGCGAGTTGGGATTAAGAGGGCATAGGAAGAGATGCTGTGGGTCATGGGGCGACTCCCTGCATGCCGGGAATTCGTTGAGAACATCTTCGTTTAATCTGCTCAGGTATGAGTTCAACCTGCTGCAGTAACGAGGGCGCAATTGGGCTATTGTGGTCCGAGTCTACCGAGGCAGACGATGTTCTGTCTCATCCACGTCTGGTGGTTGTATGCCCAGAACAGCATTCACAGGTCGGGAGTCTACATAACTCGAGACTGCCTCTCTGTGAATGCCATTCAAGGCCTGTCGATAAGCTGTCGGATCCAGAGGTTGTTTGATGAACCTCTAGACTTCGTCCGTCAGTTCCTAGAGATGCCTCCTCATGTGCCTGGGCGAAGGCTCTACTGCAAGGAGCTGTCTGTTTGGTTGACCACATCTGTGGCTCCCAACCAGAAACTGATTGCAGATCATTGTGTTATGCTCCTTAACAGGGAGCATGTGGGCCTCCTCGTGCATGTGGTGTTGCGGCAACATCAAAAGGCCTCCCGTCGCTGTCCTGAGTGCCGTGTTCTGGCAAGTCTGCAGCTTCATCCACTGCATCCTACTAGTCCCCGGTGACAAAACGGGCGCGGCGCAGTTCAGAAACGGCCGGCCAATTGCCTTTTACGTTGCCAGCAACGTTTCTTTGTCTTTGCCCCAGGCGTTGCTGGCTAGCGACTTGAAGACCTTGTTGCGGCTTTGGACTCTGTTGACAATTTCGGTTGTATGTGGCGAGAAGGAGAGCAGACTATCGAATATTACTCCGAGTATCTTCGGGTTGTTCACCGTCGAAATTGGTGTATCATCGACGTGAATTCCCAGTTGTAGTCTGACCTCCTTCGTACAGGTGGTAAAAAGTGTGGCCGAGGATTTTGTACGGGAGAGGGTTAGGCTCCGTGCAGTGAAAAAGCGAGAAAGCTCGGCGTTTACTTTCTAGCACAAGTCATCAATTCCATTCCCAGACGTCATGATCAAGCAATCGTCAGCATAAGAGACTAATACTCTCCGGAAGTAGCAAGGCCTCTAGTGTCTCCTCTACCGGGGAAAGGAGGATTATCGGATGAAAAGACGCTCCTTTGTTGGCTGGTTTGCCCCTTTTGAGCAGTGGGACCACTCTCCACATCTTCCAGATATCTGACAAATTGAGGACCTCCGTTAGGTATGTTACTCCCGTAGGACCCAAAGTTTTCAGCATCATCATGCATATTCCGTCGGATCCAATCGCTTTGAAGGCTTTCGCTTTCCCCGATGGCTACCCTTACCTCACCGCTGGTGAAAACAAGAGGCGCACTTGATTTTGGTAGTNGCGCTACTCCCGTAGGACCCACAGTTTTCAGCATCATCATGCATATTCCGTCGGGTCCAATCGCTTTGAAGGATTTCGCTTTCCCGATGGCTACCCTTACCTCACCGCTGGTGAAAACAAGAGGCGCACTTGATTTTGGTAGTTTGTGCAGCCTTCTGGTCATTCGACGTTTGGCTTTATTCACCGGAGGATGCAAGATGAACTGCCGGCTAAAATAGCTCGCGCATCGCCCCTGGTCCGATGAAGCGTGGTCACCAAAACTCTGTCGTCACACTTCGTGGGGCTGGACAATGACCTCACGGTTGACCAAAGCTTACTCACACCAGAGGCGAAGTTGCAGGTCTTCAGATGCTCTTCCCATTTCGTCCGCTTATGTACGTTCACAAGTTGCCGAATCTCCAAGTTGAGATACCTGATACGGAATTTCCGGGATCGGCCTGACGAAGGTTGTTGCGCTCATCGGCTAGGACAGCCGCTTCAGCAGGATAATTTTGACGAGGGTCCGATATGCATCCCACTGCATTTTTATAAACAAATAATTCAAATTTAACAATTTTATCATAAATGGCCAATCTTGTCAATATGTGCGTGTCATAAAGTGTTGATGAGCACTTGAAATACTATTAAAATGTCAAGTTTTAGTNTAGTTTGTGCAGCCTTCTAGTCACTCGACGTTTGGCTTTATTCACCGGAAGATGCAAGATGAACTGCCGGCTAAAATAGCTCGCGCATCGCCCCTGGTCCGATGAAACGTGGTCACCAAAACTCTGTCGTCACACTTCGTGGGGTTGGACAATGACCTCACGGTTGACCAAAGCTTACTCACACCAGAGGCGAAGTTGCAGGTCTTCAGATGCTCTTCCCATTTCGTCCGCTTATGTACGTTCACAAGTTGCCGAATCTCCAAGTTGAGATACCTGATACGGAATTTCCGGGATCGGCCTGACGAAGGTTGTTGCGCTCATCGGCTCGGACAGCCGCTTCAGCAGGATAATTTTGACGAGGGTCCGATATGCATCCCACTGCATTTTTATAAACAAATAATTAAAATTTAACAATTTTATCATAAATGGCCAATCTTGTCAATATGTGCGTGTCATAAAGTTTTGATGAGCACTTGAAATACTAGGTGCAATCCCGTATTCCTCAGACTCGGACTAGTAAAACTGTAAAAAAATAAAAATTCGCTCAGAGCGAGAGAGTAACATTGAAAAGTACGGGATCGCTTTCTGGTAAAAAATGGTAACTCCTGTCAACTTCAACATAACCTCCAAATTTTGGTTGTAAATTTTTGCTAATTTTGCATGTAAACATACCCAGCTTACACATGTAAATAACCAAAAATCAAATTCATTAGAATCCACTTAAACAAGTAATTAAATACTTTTCAACATGAATTAGCAGAGTGCACTTTTCTTTTGTTTACAATTTGGTTGCCAAACACACTACAGCTGATCGTTTGACACATTTACCAGAATTTACCAGCAAAAAATTCTCGGACTAAAACTGGTAACTTCTGACAGAGAGNAAAACTGGTAACTTCTCACAGAGAGAGGACCGTATTTACTCTCTTTTTTGTCCTCTCAATAGTCAGAGAACCGAGTACGGGATCGATTTCCAGTAAAATCTGACTGATTCTGACTATTTCTCACTAGTCCGGACTCATACGGGATCGCAACTACTATTAAAATGTCAAGTTTTAGTACTGAATTCAAAGAAGAGGTCTCTTGTATCCAAGCATAATAACTTTAAAAAAATTTGTTTGTTGAGAAGTGTACCTCAAAATATGCGCATACACATTTATGTTAAAAAGTGTAAAATATGTATGTAAATGTACCTACATAAACTCTCCCATGAATATCACCAAATAATTAGTCTTAAAGCACAGTTTTTTATAGATTTCGTACTGAAAATATAAAACTTACTAGAAATATTAATATTATTATATTAATTCACATGTATGAGCGCCTAGAATTGGGAAATGAAAATATCGTTTTGTAAATGTGTAACTAACCGGTCATAAAGAGTGGTCGCGCGAAAATGGGCACATATCAAGGTAGATTGAACGGGTAGTATCAGTACAGCAGCTGATTTGATTTGTTTTTTTTTTAATATTTGGTCCCGAAAATGTCGAATATTTTAAATTTATTCCCACAAAAATTCTAAATGGTTAAAATCTATTTGCATGTGAAACCTTTTTCCATACAAAACAAGCGATTGAATAGCAGTTTTCGGAACGCTCGGATCAATGCTTCGAGAAGCAAGCAAATTCACTAAGAAAGAAAGCTGCAACAATTTTATTTTTTTCCAATATAAAATTTTTATTTTTTATTTATTTGTATTTCACGCTTTGATTTAGAAGAAAAAAATCAGAACAGTTTTTAACACTTTCGATACCGGGAACGACAAAAAAATACACGCCAATGTTGTTTTTGATCTAATGTTTTGTGCTCACGTTCAGTATATACATACATATGTATGTACATACATACATATAGCAGCAATTACCCCGCAAACATATTCTGAGCGCTCAGAATATATGAGTCGGAAAGGAGTCCTAGGTAAGTAAGAAATATGAGTTTCAAAAACAAACATTTTTTTACTCTTATATGAATCTTTTAGGAGTCATATATGATCCAAGTTATGAGCCAGCACTTTGTGCCAGTATAAAAACAATAACGACTAGAAATTTATATCTAAACTTGTTTATACAGATATGAAAAATAATTAGGAAGGAAAAATAAACAAAATTTAGCTGCAGCAACTGCTATTACATGAATGCTGCAATATATGAACATATGTATGTATATATGTATGCGCAGAGGTTTGTATATAAATATGCAACAGTATTTGAAATGAATTCCTTGCTAACATGGCTCTAAAGTAAGTTCATTAAGAGAGTTGAAGAATAAAGCCAATAAGAGTCACAGAACAGCATACAAGGAGCTCCGAAAGTAGGCATTTATGAGGCCAATAAGAGTCATTTAAGAGCTTCAAAAAGAG